TATTTATTCTGAATCTGAATCCTGTTTGAGAACTCATCTTGTTTTTTAATGTTCTTTATCAACAAGTATAGAGAACAGTGAAAGGATGCACTTCAAAAATTGTTGTTTGTCCACCTCAAGAGGTTAATAAATCATTATGTGAGCTGTCTGAAATGGTAACAAGGTAGCAGATTTTGCCTAAATAAAACAGTCACTAAGTAGGGCTGATTAATTTGGGACCAAATGTTGGTCTTGTTATTGTAAACTCGCCCTATTAATATTAATTTAAAAAATATTCTGCTACAGTTACAGGGTTGAATGATTGAGCTTGACAAACACAGTCAGCTATATAATACGTGCTTGCACTGTTGTTAAGATATGTGTGAAGATTATTTGCCGCCACAATGTCACACTTGAATGGAAAACCATGAGGTAACAGAGTAACACTGCTTTCTCTCTACTGAAGTGAGGCAGTCAGAGAATTCCTATGTCTGGATGACCCACCCACTGCTTTTGACGATATTAGAGAGAGATGGGTAAGCTCGCTCAGTTACTTTAATTCTTTTGTATTCAGCCAAATATAATGAATCCAATTATCTGGTCACACCAGCTTACAACCACATCCCTGACCAACAAAAATAAATAACACAATGGACTAATCCATTTCTCCTGCTGCTCCTACTGAAGGCCTTCTGTGAGACACTGGGAGGGACCAACTGTTGCCTTCAAAGAGACTTAATGGACGACGAGAGAGAGACTGAGTCCCTGAGAAATGTCCTGCTGCACAAAGAACTCCAAATTAGCCAGCCTGAGAGAACAAAGAAGTAATGTAGCAACATGACCTATTTGTGGGTTGCTTAGGAAACAGGGATAAGCAGGTGGATTTCTGGATGAAATTAATGACTCCAAAATGATTCTTACGCTCAAGGAAATTATGTCTAATTGGATTAAGTGCTGCACAAAATGCAGCCTCTACCAGCAACGCTAATTGCTTTTAGAAATACTGAAGTGTCGTGCCCATTTCAATTTTTAATGTCATTTGTTTTAGATTTGCAGATTTTAAATGCAACACTGAGCAAAAATTAGTAACTTTTAACTCCGTAAAGCCTGACATATCAAATAATAGTCACAAAAAAAAAATGCATATTTTAAATGTAACATTAAAAAAACATATATATATATATATATATATATTTTTTTAATGGAACAGTTTATTGAACCTTTAGAAAAAAGTTTGCACATGTGTTTTTTTCTAATTATCATATCTGATACATCATTATAGCTAATAGATTAAGATATTGGAGAATATGGAACTCCCAAACTGAGCAAAACTATGCAATTTGTTGCAGCAATTTGAAATATATGATAGCTTGTAATGTAAATTAAATTATCAAAGCTCTTTAGTTTTTATTGTGGGGGCAAAAATTGAAAGCAATCAATGTAATACAATGACGATTGAGCGATGAACAAATAAACGTTCCTCAAAAATATCTGATACTCACATTTTAATATTATTTTTCTAAAAAAAAAGATAATTAGGTAAACCCAAGTTGCTTCAGTCCAGTAAGTGTTTAGGCATGTAGATGATAGAAGGCATGTAGAAGATTGTGTACAACAGATTATTAGAGAAGATTTGTTAAAGGGTTAGTTCACCCAAAAATGAAAATTAGGCTGCGTTTTACTCACCCCCGAGGCATCCTAGGTGTATATGACTTTCTTCTTTCAGACGAATCCAGTCGGAGTTATATAAAAAATTGTCTTTGATCTTTCAAGCTGTTTAATGCCACTCAGCGGGTGTTGCATTGCTTCAGTCCAAAAGAACTTAAATAAAAATCGCCCATCCATAAAAAAAGTGTCTCACACGGCTCCGGGGGGTGAACAAAGGCCTCCTGTAGCGAATCGATGCGTTTTTGTAAGAAAAATATCCATATTCAGAACTTAATAATCACTTTAATGTAGCTTGCGCCAACAGTTGAACACAGAAGCAGTTCCGGGGGGATGACGTATGAGGTCAGCCTTGCACATGCGCCGGTTAGTCTCGTGAAAACCAACGTTTGTTTACAGAATCAAAGGAAGCAAAGTTTCAGGTGAAGGGTTTCAGAGGAACTCTGAAAGTGCGCTGGGAAATGCTCTAGTGAATGCTAACCAGCCATTTAAATGTAAATCAGCAAGCTCATTGGCTGTGTATTCGACATGAACCAATCAGCTTGTGCCAAGTACTTTAACGCTGTGAATATTAGGAAGATCAGGCCCTTTCTTTCAGAACATGCAACACAACTCCTTGTTCAAGCTCTTGTTCTGTCCAGGCTGGACTTTAATGTAGCTTGCTCCGACAGTTGAACACAGAAGCAGTTCCGGGGGGATGACGTATGAGGTCAGCCTTGCACATGCGCCGGTTAGTCTCGTGAAAACCAACGTTTGTTTACAGAATCAAAGGAAGCAAAGTTTCCTTACTTTAGCAAAGGAAAACAAGTCTCCTCTTGGCTTATATCGAAATCCTCCGACATTCTTCTTTACAAATCCTCGTTTTGTACTTCTAATTAGTGACCGTTGTGTTGTTTTGATCTCTCCGCTGCGCTTCCGCGTGCGTCACTTCTGAGCGGCGCATGCGCAACGCCGACCTCATACGTCATTCCCCCGGAACTGCTTCTGTTTACAACAGTGAGCGCAAGCGAGATTCAAGTGATTATTACGTTTTGAATATGGATATTTTTCTTACAAAAATGCATCGATTCGCTACAGAAGGCCTTTGTTCACCCCCCGGAGCCGTGTGAGGCACTTTTTTTTATGGATGGGCGATTTTTATTTAGGTTCTTTTGGACTGAAGCACTGCAACACCCACTGAGTGGCATTAAACAGCTTGAAAGATCAAAGACAATTTTTAATATAACTCAGACTGGATTCGTCTGAAAGAAGAAAGTCATATACACCTAGGATGCCTCAGGGTTGAGTAAAACGCAGCCTAATTTTAATTTTTGGGTGAACTAACCCTTAAAAGGCTGTATTAAATATGATACAGTAGGCTTTACAGGGTTAACTATGAGTTAAGATGAATTAAGTTGCATGATTAATGTAAGTGAAATCCAGCCATAAACACTCCATGAAGTTCTCAAGTTGATCAAGACTGTACCACTGGACTAACATATCACATATGTTTAACTTTTCCCTGTTTAACCCATATAGTGGCATGTATCGAACCCAAGAGAAGCTGAACAGAGAGCCCAGAGACGTTTTAACAGCACATGAATATAAAGAAGTGGAGAGAGATGCCCTCAGGAGACCAAATAAAAGGTAATCATACATGTCTACCATATAATTTATTCTTTTTCCACGTACTCCCTTTGCAATGAATCCTAGTTGAGTGTTATTATTTAAATAAACATCCCATAATTTTACTAAGAATCAGGATGTGTCTTGGGAGCATTTTGTCTCATTATATTGCTTGTATCTCTTTTCAGTTCTGAAGTGGGGCTCATAAGGAGTCATGGTGCGTGCTGGTGCGGATCAGCAACTGACAGTCCAGAAAAGCACAGTTCCAAGAACCCCATCAAATAAATTAAAAGAAAGGGGGAAAAACCCCAGCAAATAGGGCACTTTCTTCAAATCTTCTGTTTGTTCTTAGTCATAATAAGTTTATTTTGGATGAATCAAAACTGATTGATGCCAGAAAATGATTTTGAGCACAACCACTTTTAATGACTTAACTGAAAAGATGTTCTTTAAAGGGTTTAATGATGTTTGTGTGATTCTATAAGGTTAGTTTTATAGAGATTTTATAGGACATCTGCGTCAAACTCACACTTGGACTATAGCAGCCAAAGAAGTAATGTCACTCGCTCTCTGAAACAATCTTGTATACAATTTTCTTGTATACAATCCAGATTTTTGACTTCTGTTTTGGATTATTCACATTTGGGTATTGGCTTTTTTGATTTGGATTGTGGAATAAATTGATACACTCGGATTCTTCAGATTCAAATGGGATATCAATCCAGAAACTGTAAAACTTCTTGGAAAAAGAAAAAAACTAAAACATACCTCTATGTATTACTTATCTGAATGTTTTATTCATACATGTATTGTATGCGTTAGAGATATCTTCTGTCACATATTTGATAATTGAATCAACTGTTCTAGTGCAGCTGGTTCTGCACAGCTCTTACCAGCTGGAATCTGTTAGACTATATCTGTCCACACAACATGTCAGTGTTGACCAGCATGATCTTTCTGGTGAAGCTGGTTGAGCTAGTTAAGAAGTCTGGTTGGTAGGGATGTAACGATTCACTCAAGTCACGATTCGATTCACGGTTTTGATTTCATGATTCGATTCACGATTTTTTTAACAAAATTAGATTTAAGACAAATTATAAATAAAATTTGTCCTTTTATTATTGCTTGGACAAAATGCTGCCCGTTTCTTTGTGAAACTGAAACATAACACTATAATAATATACTAATATAGCACTTGCATATTATTGCTCTTTTGTTGGTTTTGATTGCTTCTATTGTCCTCATTTGTAAGTCGCTTTGGATAAAGGTGTCTGCTAAATAACAAAATTTAAATATAATGTAAATAACAAAACTAAATTGAAATTTTAAAACAAGCCCCAAATCAAATAAATAAGTAACACAAATAAAGAAATCTCGTCATATAAACAAACTAAGGCTTTGTCTGTGCTCATTCCATTTAAAATGAGAGGCAGGCATCCACTGCATTTTAATCATGATCCAAACAAAGATGCTGCATACATGCAACATGAGCAGTTTTTAATCTAAATTAGATTGTATAATTTCGAAATTTGAAGCAAAAACAGAATG